TACACTCGATTCGCGTTCGAGAGGGTTCCTCGAACTGAAGGGATCCCCCGAATTTGGTGCAGATTTGCCGCGCCGTTATGGAGATAAGGCCATTCAAATTTTTAATGGTTTTCCATAGACTTAAGCTTTAAAGCGTTTCATCCAGCAACCCTCTACATTGCGAGTAAATCACTCGCATATGCGACTAAATCTTCACTTAATGAAAGGTTAGATTTTTGTACATTTTTAAAATAAAAGATCAATAGGATTAACAATGCAGATTTATTTTCATAGCCTTTTTTGATCATATTTACCAAGGGTACCAACAATTCTGACCACGACTGTATATGTATGTATGTATATGTATATATGTATGTATATATATATCACTCTGGTGAGTAAACTACAAAATTTACTAGCCAATGGCGATTCAATTGCCAAGGTGTCCTAGAGGGTTGTCCAAGTCGCCAGTAGTAAACAATGGAGCGTGCTCTGCTGGACAAACTAAGTAATTACACTATTTCAAGCATTTTATCTGCGTTTTATGTTCTGTAAAAATTAAATTCATATCGGCGGCATATCGGCAACAGGCTCATATCGGCAAAACGATATATCGGTCGGGCTCTACATGAAACCTTTCCAGTGGCATGAATTTCAAGCTATTCAAATTACTCATCTCAACTCAGTGGAGGTATAGCTGAGATTCTGGAACTGATTCTGGTTTGCTGAGTGTTGGCTGATCGTCCAGCTGACCAGTCACACTAACCCTAAATGCTGATACAAATCATATTATCATCGTGCCCATCTCTGCTCTCTGTGCCCTAGTGTGGCGGTGGGCAGGAATGTAGGGGCGTTAGTGAAAACAAAAGCACCGGCAGTAGTAATGATGACTTGGCTTAGAGAAACACAGCACCCTGTGCATCGGGACAATAGTGGTCTCACCCACAGCAACATACAGAGAGGAGAGTATGGGGGGATTTAGACCGTCAGCACTCTGGGGGGCCAACGTCGCATTCCTCTCATTGCTGCCACTACACTGATGCATCCATCCATTTATCTCTTCATCCATTCATCAACCAGCAAACACAGCCACTTGCAGCCAATGATTCATCAGTACATCTGAGCAGATCTGTCTGTCCATCTGTCAGCTAGCATGATTCCAATTATCAGTCTGTCCATCCACACCCATCTATGGGGTTCAAGGTCTCAGCAATTTCTAGAGCAGCTCAATTAATCAAAGAGTTCAAAAGGTACTCGCATGACAGGAATGGCACATTTGCATAATTCCAAATTTTTTTATTGCTTTAAACACAAGATAAAATACTGAAATGTAGGAGTTGACAGCATTTCTCCGGATTTGGAATGAGAAGCACATTAAAAACTATTGATCTTCCATCAGTCCTACACCAACATAAAGGCTTGAGGGCTAAAGAATCATGAAAGTCAAGAAATTACTTTTGAAATAAATACATTTCTAATGCATTATATATTTCTAATATTATTATTACTATTATTGATTGTAACAATTCAGCATTACATTATTCAATATGACTAAATTCCTAAAACTGGGTGAAAAAACAGTGGACCAAAAGAAAAGAGATCTGTCCATTTGTATAATGGAATGCATAACTAAGTTCTGTTCACTATCTTCACTTTTGGCTCAAATTAAACACATCTGTTCTTTTAAAAAACTTCCTGTTGGCACCAGGTTATAGGCAAACTTGCTAGTTTGTAGTTTTTGCACACTCTGTTCAACAACCTGAGACTCCTGTTTCAATGTGCTTTTATTTATTTGTTCTATCTGCACAGCAACAATATGAGATGTTAAATAGATAAGGTTCACACAAAAATGAAAATTCTGTCATCCGTTATGACATTCCACACCTGTATGACTTTCTTCTGTAGAACACAAAGGCCGATACTCTGAGAAATGTCTGTTTTTATCCATACAGTGGAAATCAATGTTAACCAAAACATTTGGTTACTACAATTTTTCAAAATACCCTAAAAATAGTAAGTCATCAGGTTTGGAACAACATGAGGGTGAGTAAACAATGACAGTATTCTCATTTTTGGGTGAATTTTCCCTTAAAGGTTTATATTCATATTCATATGTCATCACAATATGATATGACCAAATCAGTCATTTCAATAACAATTGCATTGTGGGTATATCTCATGATGTGCTACTTAATGAGATGCTGAAATAGGTCAGCATGTGAGAGAGAAAGAAATACAAGTTAAGGACCACTTGAAAACCTATGCTTGAACATCCTATGAAATGGGATTAAACCAATATCTCAACTCACAGACAGGCAAAAACAATAATCTTCCCTTTTATCTAAAGGCCCGCTGAGAGTGATTACATAAGGACCAGATCTCAACATTTCCTATATTAACGGTTTAGACAGCACATACAGACAGTACATCTCGTACTCGACCATGGAGGAAGGTAAGAACAGAAAGTTCAACAACATTCACCTGCTGTTCAAATGGAAGAATATTGTCATGTTACCTCAAAAAAGCCAAGTCCAGTACAGAGACTAAAAATAAATCAAATGTACTCAAAAGAAGGGCTCAATACAGAAGGGATACTATGCAGCGCCTCGAAATCCCCCATCCAGACGAGACGAGAGAGAGCTCAGCCTGTCCAACTGAATGAGAAACTGAGTCAACAGCAGCACGAGCGCTGACCGCAGATCCGGCCGTAATCCCCCTCCATCCTCCGCATGCTGCGTTAATGTCACCAAATCCCGTGTTCTCGCCCTATCACTCCATTTATACAGCATGCAATAGCAGGCACTGCCATGTCCGATTTAATTCAATCGTTAAACGCTCTAATCTGCCAAAGACAACCGTCCAAAACACTGGCATTAAACGTTGTTGTGCAATACAGTTAAGTGCATTGGGTTTACTTATCTAACGTTACCTGTCCTCCCCTTCCACGGCAATTTGGCAGTATCGTAGTGATGCTTTTTCCAGTCTTGGATTCAGACAGCGCAACAGCTAGTGAGGCCATGCATCCCCCTCCACCGCCTATGACAAATCAAAATAACACAGCAGATGGCATGCAAGGAGCCCAAGATGCGAGCTAAATCACATTGCATTGCATTGCATTTAAAACGCCAGATACCCTCCGCTCGCACACATATCCCTCACATTAGTGTGCTGAACCGTAATGTTTGGGTGGAAAACTCACACGATAGTCTGGGCTGGAGTGAATGTGCGCGGTGGTGGAAAGCTCACATGATAGTCTGGGCAGGAGTGAATGCGCGCGGTGGACGCACAGACACACGCCGAAACAAAAGGCGAGCAGCATGGTCATTCACACTCACTCACGCGACCCGTGTGAGATAACTGAACGTTACATTACCTCACAATTTTGACAACCGCATAATGCGCGGTGGCCATTATTAATTCGCGACGACTAAAGCTTGATATTTAAATGAACAGCCGTTACAGCTACGCAGACTTACCTAACGTTACGGCGTGGCTGTGTTTTCAAATCCAACGAATCTCAACGTTTCTCTTGGGCGAAGACAAAGCGGAATGGTTTCGTCCAGCTCACATAGGTGTTTCTGTTTTCTTCCCGTTTTAAAAGCCAGATAGCTCTCGATAGTTCTTCCGTTAATTCCGCATCCTTGTGTGTTTTTTTTTCTCTCAGCCCGAGCAGCGCGGGCGGTTATTAAACATAAAGCGAATCCCTCGCGTGACGGTGAGCTCAGGTAACCACACAGATTTCAAACCGTTATTTCAGTTCTCGTCGAATATTTGAATTCCTTCGTAATTGTCATACAGCCTTGTGTCCACGCGACCTCCGGCGTGTCGCTCTCGTCTTTCTTTAGTCCGACTGATAGACGAAAGAATGAATGATAGCGGGGGGGTTGCGGGGGCTCAGTCGCATCATCACGCTCATACATACAGCACGAGCGAGCGAGCGCGCGCCTACACACAGCAGCGAGAGAGGGGCACATCTGATTAGTATGTTGAACGCATTTCGCGCCCACGGATGCACAACAACGAGCAAATTAATTTATTTTTCTAGTAAAGACAGTGTTCGTAAAGCCTGTGGGTGCTTTAAAACAATAGTTGTGCCGTTGAACATCAGAAGACAGAGTAACGTTAGACTACTTGCTTGTCTTGCCTGCGGATGGATATTTGCCATCATGATGCAAATTAAATCAAGAGATAAGCAAACTCGTAGGTACCACGTGTGACATACTGTAATTTGGGTTGCTTGTGTAGTTAATATAATAATATTATTAGTCTAATCTGTCAAGTTATACTGTATGATTACACACTGGTTTACCGGTAGCATCATCTACCCAAACAAGGCGAGATCCAAAGCAAACTGGGCCCTTTGTAGGGTCACCACTAAAATTTACAGGATCTTGGTAGACAACGTGCTGACAATCTGACAATCAAAAACATTAACATCCTCTCCCCCTTGCAATTACTTCTTTTCTCTGATGATGTGTACACTGGTGTGAGGGCGGGACAATATTCCCTTCCCTCCATCAACCTGTCGGTCACAATTAGCAAACAACAATGATCCAATCAATTCCTAATGGACAAAATCAAATCCCACCCTACAGTTTTTCTGGTTAAAGAAGCTGTTTCATGCAGATATACAGCAAGTCACAGGCAATAAAAGACGATCAGAACTCATGCCGACTTTAAAGGCAAAGTTCATCCAAAAATGAAAATTCTGTCATTAATTACTCACCCTCATGTCGTTCCAAACCCGTGAGATCTTCGTTCATCTTCAAAACACAAATTAAGATATTTTTGATGAAATATGAGAGCTCTCTGACACTGCATAGGCAGCAATGCAACTGAAATGTTCCCAGGCTCCAAAAGGTAAGGATATCGATAAAATAGTCCATGTGACAGCAGTGGTTCAACTGTAATTTTACAAAGCTGCGAGAATACTTTTTGTGTGCAAAGAAAACAAAAATAATTACTTTATTCAACAATTCTTCTCCTCCAAATCACGTATTCTGCCATTATGGAGAATACCACGACGCATGTGCGTTGCTTTACTCTGCATGTAAACAAGGCTCGGCGTATGCATGTTCTAGGTCAACAGCATCACACGCATGTGTTGTTTACGTGCATGGCAGAAGACGTTATTTGGAGGAGAAGAATTGTTGAATAACGTCATTATTTTTGTTTTCTTTGCACACAAAAAGTATTATCGCGCAGCTTCGTAAAATTACAGTTGAACCCAATGTCCTTACTATACGTTTCTGGACCTGGGAACATTTCAGTTGCTTTATTGTCTATGGAGGGTCAGAGAATCTCAGATTTAATCAAAAATATCTTAAGCTGTGTTCCAAAGATGAACGAAGGTCTTGTGGGTTTGGAACGACATGAGGGTGAGTAATTAATGACAGAATTTTAATTTTTGTGTGAACTATCCCTTTAACAAGTGGTTTCAGCCAGGGCCATCCTTAGCTGACACAAGGCCCAGTGCGAGGTAGGGAGCAGGGCCCCCTCTGTCCGTTCACGATCACGTTCCCCCGCGGTCCATTCGCAATCACGTTCCCCCTAGGCCCATTCGCAGTCCCAAAGGGCCCCTTGTGCTGGACGTTGGGGCCTCCATAGCATTTTGCTGGCGGTAGTGATAAAAGGATAGGATACCTATAATGTTTATCAGAAAGGGATGCCTCTGATTGATTTGTATCGTGAATTAATAAAAGCTTCAAGGCAACTTTGCTCTTGACTGGGACTTGCAAATGGGGCTCCTGAAGATACATGAAAGAAACAGGGGCCCTTGTGTTTTTTCAGAGAGGTGACTGGGGGGATGGGGTCTTCGATTCATTTGGGGTGGAGGGGCCAGACTGCTTGGGGCCTCTGGGCATGGGTCCCACATGCTGGTCATAATCACAGACCCAGAACATAAACAATGCATCAGGCCATGAATTTGCTACATCCATCACATGCCAGATCTGATGGCGGGGTGGTTATACCTAGACATAAACGAACATATTACCTCGCAGGTGATGAAGCATCTTACACCAAAAGCACATATGTCAACACATTCAAGCAGTTCTGTACTTGTCCTAGTGGAGAATACAAAACATTAGTCTAGAATGTTTCCACATAAAAAAATGCCCTTGCTAATGGAGCATATAACGGACACTGTCATTGACATTTACATAGCAGCAGATATGTATTCAAACATATCCTTTATATATGCCAACTGACCATGTTCATGCCCTTATCTTCTGTTGGGTCTCACATGTCATTCCCTTTTAAATTTACATATCCTAGAGATCTTTTTAGCCGTTGGTCATTATCTGAGTTCTCTGATGCAAAAGTTGTTTGAAGAGAACAACAATTTTGCTGAGTCTGAACCAACACACACTTCTAGATGCACATACTCTCATAATGGGCTCTTCAAGACACACAGGCATCTCATGTTTATGCACAAGTATTCTTTTGATACTGATATTCTTTTAATCAGATGAAAACCGATTGCTGATCATTGATTACAGATCAGGTTTCTTCCTGACTCAGGGGGATTTGAATTGACTTTTTATGCAGTGATAAATGTCTCTTGCTAATGTCTGTCTCTCTTTCTATCTAAACCTCCACCCCTCCCACCTACGATGGTCCCCATCCCTACCTGGTCCCCTCTTTTGAAAGAGCACACAATAGTGTGGGAGACAAAGGAAAAGAGCTGAGTGGGCAGCACTGAGTATCTGTGGGTACTGGGGCCCTCTCGAGCTGGAACTGGCTGAAGCTCTGCTTACATAGAACTGCTTTTTGCTCACTACAGCACATTCAGTCTCTCACTCTCTCTCACTCACTCACAATTTTTTTCAGTTTTATCTTTTAATGTCTGTCTCTGTCTACAGTTTCTCTGTAAATCTGTCCTACTGTCCTTATATAAAAGACATGGCAGTGTGGGTGTGGAGAGGTTAAGGTGGGACAGATTTTGGGGTTGCCAAAACAAATGTATTTACTTACATTATATATATATATATATATATATATCATAGATCAACAGTTCTTTAAAAAGTGTGTGTGTGTGTGTGTGTACTTTTTTATGCTACATTGTGGGGACCAAATGTCCCCACAAGGATAGTAAAACCTGAAATGTTTTGACATTGTGGGGACTGGCCTGCGGTCCCCACGATGGAAAAAAATTAGTAAAAATAGTAAATGATGTTTATCTGAAAGTTTAACAATGCAAACAGGTTTTCTGTAAGGGGTAGGTTTAGGGTTAGGAGATAGTAAATATCGTTTGGTGAGAAGAGTTCAGATGCAAAAGCCTCTAAGTGCCATCTGAAATTTTCTTTTAAAATTAGCATTTTTATCAGGCTCCTATGTTTAGGTTCAGTCATTTTACTTGAATGGCAATGTATAGGTCCTTTTCTATGCCATTAAAGTGAAATACATTAACATAAATATAGGAGCCTGATAAAAATGCTCATTTTAGATGAACATTTCAGATGGCACTTAGAGGCTTTTGCATCTGAACTCTTCATATATATAGCCTAGCCACCTTTTTCTTGCCGTAAAAATAGGCGTGGCCATTTGTAAATTCTATAGGTCTAGCTTCCAGTCTCATCGGTGTCCAGCTATTTTTAGCTGTACAAAACAGTTTGTTTTGCTGCTTGATATTGAAAATTGGTGTGTCTTATCATATTATTTGAATCTATTATCTTAATTATGAACACACTGATTTGTAGTGCAAACAGTTTTACCGTTTACTGCACGTTGTTATTCTTCTCGTTATTTACCAATAGCAGTTAATGAACCGGAAGTCTCGCCCATAGGCTTACTTCCGCGTTGAAGAAAAAGGTGGATATACATACATATATATATATATATATATATATATACATACAGTATGTGTGTGTGTGTGATGTAAATCCATTTGAAATAGCAAATTATGAGCGCACAGTTCAGTCTCTGAGTGTTTGTGTGTTTTGTGTGCAGAAGAAATTATTTTTGCCTCAGGCTCAGTACATGTGTCCAGTTTTGGATCTCCAAATCTGTTGGCTTTGACCACCAGGGAGATTGTGCTAAGATAGATGGAGACTTTCAAGTCTGTTGCTGTGCACAACACTCACACCGCATTGATGCTGTTTAGATCAAATAGATGACTGTGTAGTTCTTGTTTCTTGATACCATTGACTGATGAGGTACCCTGATGCTGAAGTCACAACTGTACCCAAGAGAAACCATATGATTAAATGCAAATACAAACTACGACGGCCCTCCTTTTCCCTTTCTCTCTCTCTTATTTCTCCCCTGTATCTTTATCTCTTCCACTCTCTCTCTCTCTCTCTCTCTCTCTCTCTCTCTCTCCGACCTACTAAAAGATATTTATATTCCTCTCACAACCTCCTCAAGTCATCTCATTGGGACAAGCAAACTATTTCTGCTCTCTATCTCTCATTCTCACACCACCAAGTTCTACCTATCCTCCAGAAACAAGTTTCTGAAGGTCACCTAGCTGTTCCAGTTTAGACCACAAGAATTGCTGCCATAAAAATAGGACGTAGATGTAGGAGATATTGAGGCAGAGTCAAGGAAAAAGGAATCAGGATGAAACCAAAGAGACTGCACTGTAATTTAGGTGATGACATTTGAGGCAAGAATAAATATGTGGCTTACATCACTAAAGAAACCAGGTTACACTCAACTCTAAAAACAGTTATAGCAGTAATTCCTCAGAATTACCCAGAAACAAACAAAATAAACAACAACATGAATAAAGCAGCAGGCTGCAGAAGACTAATCCAACTTACTTTATATTAAGATATAGAACCAAATAAAAATATTCTTACATTAAACATCAACCTGCTTATTCAAATTTTGTCTTTGCATAGGTACACAATGCACTGTAGATTCTTGAGAAGGTGTCACAGCTATTATTAAGTGCCTTATTGGAATATC